CCAGCTCTGTGATGAAGACCTGGAAGCAGAGCATGTTTGGAGTGTGCTTCTGCCCCAGGTCAGGTGGGAGAGGGAGAGGCCATGTTCCCAGTGCTTCCCAGATTGGGCTAAGTGTGTGTATGCTTTTTGTTTCTTTCATGCCAAAGTTATTACCATTAGAAGCTCCTTAGAGAATTCATTCCTTTGCCTACTGATTGTTGATCTTAGTATCTCTTTATATCTCAGTCTTAGTGTCCCTTTACCTTCTTAAGAAATTGAGATGTGGAGCCAGGATTGTGGCACATTGGGTTAAGCCTCTGCCTGTAATGCTGGCATCCCATATGAGCATCAGTTCGAGTCCTGGCTATTCCACCTCCAAGCCAGCTCTCTGCTAATGCACCTGGGAAAATGGTCCAAGTACTTGGTCCCCTGACATCCACATGGGAGGCCTGAATGGAGTTCAAGGTTCCTGGCTTCAGCCTGGCACAGCCCTGGCCATTGTGATTTGTGGAAAGAGCTGGCAGATGGAAGATATCTCTCTTTGTCTCTTCCTTTCTGTAATTCTGCCTTTCAAGTACATAAATCTTATTTTTAAAAAGGGGGGGGGTGAGATATGTGTTAGAGGGTAGGGGGCTGCAGATTAGTCCAGCCATGTCATTTGGGATCTCTTCTTTCCCTACTGGCATCCATTGGCAAGCCCACTCCTCTCCCTTCCATAAAATACCACCTCCCTCTCTTTGGGTTTTCATTCTTCCCCAATCCGTTGTAATTTCTCATGGAGCACTTCTGTAGTCTCCTGACTCATCTTCCTGCTTCTGCTCTGTTAAAACTCTACAAGTCCTCCTTGCCCTAAACTCAGTCTCTTATCATAGGCCAGCTGACTTGACCTCTTAGTTCCTCCAGCGACACCTCTAATTACTCTTCCTCTCATCTACGTACGTAGCCACACTTCCTTTGTTTGTATCACTAAGTCACCAAACTTTCTCCTTTCTCACAGACCTAGCTCAGCACCATCCAATAGAACTTTCTGCAATGATGGGGTTGTTCTATGTCTACAGTGTCCAATATGGTAGCCACAAATCCCATGTGGCTATTATACACTTGAAGTAGAGACAGTATGCCAGAGGGACTGAGTTTTAAATAGTTTAACTTTATTTAAATTTAAATATCTCCATGCAGCTAGTCGCAATGATATAGGGCCATAAAGACTAGAGTTCCTAGGTTGAGTTCAGAATAAATTTCTCCCACAGAAACAAATCCTAAATGATACTTTCTGGTGTAATTTAATATTGTTATGAATTTGATATAGATTAGCCTGTAGTAGCTGAGCTCTTACTATGACCTGTTTTTGCTCACAACACAGTTTTTAGTTTTAGGTTTTTTTTTTTTTTTTTTTTTTTTTTTTAACTTGAAAGGCAAAGCAACAGAGAGGGAGCGACAAAGAGCGAACCTACTGTACCACAGTGCCAGTGCCCTCACGACACTTCCGACACCAAATGGGTGGAGATTTTTCTCCCTACACCAACAACCAGTTCTCCAGTGCACCAACTGGGTTTGCTACAATTCGGCTCTGATGCTAACTTCCTGGAATTAGTGCAGACCTTACAGGTTAAGTGCTTCCTCCTACAATGCTGCCCATATTTCAGATGCCAGTGGCCCTTCTGACCAAATGGCTATATATCAGGATGTCCCACAACACCCTCTTCAGGTCCTTTAATTTGCTAGAATGGCTCACAAAACGTGGGGAAACACTGCCTACTATCACCAGTTTTTTTTAAAAAACAGGTACAAGTGATCAGCAAATGGAAGAAACTCATAGAACAAGGTATGGGAGGCAGTATGGAGCTCTCATGTCCTCTCCAGCACCCAGCACTGCCATGTGTTCACCAACCCCAAAGCTCTCTGAACCCCTTCATTTAGGATTTTCATGGAGGCACATTACATAAAGTTGGTTGATTAAGTCATTGACTGTTGGTAATTGGCTCCATCTCCCATCTCTTTCCTCCCTGGTGGTTGGGTTGGGGCTGAAAGTTCCAACCCTACAGCAGGTGGTTGTTTCCTCTGGCAACCAGCCCTATCCACTAAGACTAACTCATTAGTGTAAAATCAGATGAGGTTGAAAGGAGTTTATTATGAATAACAAAAGATGCTCCTCTTTACCAGTAAGGAAATCCCAAGGGAAACTAGAGGCAAAGACTGTATCTTAAGAAGTCTGTATTAGAACTTGGTAATTGCACCCAAGTCTATTATCTCTCTTCCCTCTGTCATAAATGGCAGCCTTCCCACCCAGCCACCCCAGCCAGAAATGCAGGTGTCTCCACTGGCTCTTCCCTAGTTGGTCATTCCATTGATGAAAGACCATCTGATGTTTGACAGGTGGCTGCATGCAAACATTTCAAACTTTTGAGTACAGCATACCAGGAAGACTACTATTATAACTATCAGAAGGATAACAAGAGTTGGGAGTATGTGCTTTAGCCAGGATCCTCATGAACCAAACAAACAAAAGTCAAGTAGATCAAGGAATGAGGCAGATGGGGAATTTACCCATTTTAACTAAATAACCCATTCATTAATTGTTTTGCAGCCAAATCTCTGTGATACGAGGTAAGAGTCTCTTTGTACTGGAGGGAGTTTTGTTTTCTCATCTTGGGAAAAGCTATCTATCTACAGCATGAGGTCAACTTCACATCCTTGTTAGCAATTTGAATGTCTCTGGTTTTTGGGTGGTTCAGTGAACCTACCCACCACCTAGGCATATTACAGTCAGACTGTCCTAAGTTCAAGGGAAAGAGGTTATTCTGAAAACAGCATGAGGAAAGTATCAAGTCGCATATAAGGGGTTCCCATGAAGCTAACGGCAGATTTCTCAGGAGAAATCTTACAAGTTGGGAGTATATTCAAACCTGAAAGAACAATTGCATATCAAGAATCTTTCATCAGTAAAAGATAAATTAAAACTTCCTAAGATCAGCAAAAGCTAAGGATACCCATCACCACCACACTGGCCTTACAAAAAATATTTAAAGGAATGCTACCTCTAGAAGCAAAATGATGATAACTACTATCATGAAAACAGAGAATATAAAACTCAATCGTCAGGCAAATGCATGAAAGAGAAAGGAAATCTTATCAGCACAGAACACCACCAACTCACAAGTAACAATAAGACAGGAAGAAAGGAACAAAGGCTGTACAGAGCAAGGAAAAAAATTACCAAATGACAGAAGTAAGCCCTTATCTATAAATAATAACTTTAAGTATAAATGGATTAAAGTTCCCAATTACAAGATTTAAACTGGTTGAATGGATTAAAGAAACAAAACTCAACAATAGCTGCCTACAAGAAACTTACTTCACCAGTAAAGACACAAACTGAATGTGAAGGAATTGAAAAAAAACTCCACACAAACAAACAGAAAGTAGTAAGTGTGACTATACTTAGAAAAAATAGATTTTCAGTCAAAAACTTAGGTGACACAAGTGAGATCATCATGTAATGATAAAGGGGTCATTTCAACAAGAGGAGATAATTGTAAATAAATATGCACCCGATCATGTGAAGAAAACATTAAAGATAAAAGGAGAGATGAACCATGACACAATAGTAGTTGGGAATTTCAACACTCCATTCTCTTCATAGGGCAGATCATCCAGACAAGAAATTTAGAAACAGTACAAATACTCATACATGGAAATTAAATAGCATGCTTTTTTTTTTAAGATTTATTTTATTCATTGAAAGACAGAGTTACAGGAGCTGGTGCCATGGCGCAGTAGGTTAATCCTCTGCCTGCGGCGCCGGCATCCCATATAGGTGCCGGTTCTAGTCCTGGCTGCTCCTCTTCCAATCCAGCTCTCTGCTACGGCCTGGGAAAGCAGTAGAAGATGGCCCAAGTCATCTTGGGATGGGAGACCAGGAAGAAGCTCCTGGCTCCTGGCTTTGGATCGGCGCAGTTCCGGCCTTTGCAGCCATTTGGGGAGTGAACCAATAGATGGAAGACCTTTCTCTCTGTCTCTCACTGTTTGTAACTCTACCTCTCAAATAAATAAATAAAATCTTAAAAAAAAAAAAAAGTTACAGAGACAGGTAGAGCTAGAGAGAGAGAGTTCTTGTATCTGCTGGTTCACTCCCCAGATGGCCGCAACAGCCAGAGCTGAGCTGATCTGGAGCCAAGAGCCAGGAGCTTCCTCTGGGTCTCCATTTGGGCCCAAGCACTTGGGCCATCTTCTGCTTTCCCAGGCCATAGCAGAGAGCTGAATCAGGTGGAGCAGCCGGGACTCAAACCACTGCCCATATGGGATACCAGCACTGTCAGCTGGGGGTTTAACCTGCTGCACCCCAGCGCCGGCCCCAACAGCATGCTCTTGAATGACCAATGAATGAATCAATAAAAAATTCTTTTTAAAAATTTAAATTTTAAACAAGTGAAAATGGAAGCACAATGTAACAAAACCTACAGAACAGAGCAAAAGCAGTGCTGGGAGAGACTTTTATAGCAATAAGCACTGATATTAAAAGATTCCAAATAAACAACTATGCAACTAAATGAACTAGGAAGGCAAGGGAAAAAAATCCCAAAATATAGTAAAAAGAAATAAAGATGAAATCAGAAATAAATGAGTTAGAGACTAAAAAAAGATACAAAATATAGAGCCGGCGCCACGGCTCAATAGGCTAATCCTCCACCTAGTGGCGCCGGCACACCGGGTTCTAGTCCCAGTCAGGGCGCCGGATTCTGTCCCGGTTGCCCCTCTTCCAGGCCAGCTCTGTGCTGTGGCCAGGGAGTGCAGTGGAGGATGGCCCAAGTGCTTGGGCCCTGCACCCCATGGGAGACCAGGAGAAGCACCTGGCTCCTGCCTTCGGATCAGCGCAGTGCGCCGGCCGCAGCAGCCATTGGAGGGTGAACCAACGGCAAAGGAAGACCTTTCTCTCTGTCTCTCATTGTCCACTCTGCCTCTCAAAAAAAAAAAAAATATATATATATATATATAAAGCAACAAAGATGAGGATTTTTTTAAAAAATATAAACAAAGAAAGCTTTAGTTAGGCTAACCAAGAAAAAAAGACAACTTAAATTCAGAGATGAAAATGGAAGTTATAACTTCCATTGGAGTTATAACTGATACAGAAATATAAGGAAAATGGAATTATAACTGATACAGAAATATAAAGGATCATTAGGAGCCATTATGAAAACTATACTCCTATGCCAACAAATTTCAAAACCTAGGAGAAATGGATAAATTTCAGACATATTTAACTTACCAAAATTGAAGCATGAAAACTTGAGTTGACCAATAATGAATAATGAGTTTGGACTGGTAATAAAAAGTCTCCCAGCAAGGAAAATCTGAGGATTGATGGTTTCACTGCTGAATTTTACCAAACTTTTAAAATATTGCTATAGTTCAGATGTTAGCTTAAATGTCCTCCCACAGGCCTCTGCATAGAAGGCCTGGCTTCCAAAGTCTTATGTTAATGATTGGTGGAGTAAGGTGGAGATGATTCAGTTGTGGTGTCTGGAAGATGGGCCCGGTGGGAACCCATTAGGTCACTGAGACATACCCTCAGAGTGTATTTCTTGGGAGAGTCGCTTAGAAAAGACTGGTTCTGTGTCTCTGCATCCTGGCTCATCTCACGGTCATTTCTCCACTCACACTCTGCCATTGCCAGCCTCCAGCCTCATGAGAAGCCAGGCCAATGAAGCCACCTGTTCTTGTCCTGTGAACCTCCAACACCATGAGCTGAAATGACTTTCTTTCATGAGTAGCTATATCTGAAGCAATTTGCTTCATTAGAAAACAGATCCTGAGCCTAGACTCAGTAGCTTCAGCCCTATAACTCATTACTTAGTCTATTTTCTTAAGCATAAATTTAGGTAGTTATTTATTTGGTCTAAGGAAAATATTTTGGTGACAGTGGCAAAATAATCATTAGGCCATCACATCGTAGACAAGAGACATGTCTGCGTAGCAAAGATGAGAAAGAGCATACGGTATGAAAATCTTTCTGTATACGCCTTTCCTAATGTTACAAGTGTCTTTCCAATACAAAGAACAGGAACAAGATGGGATATAGAACACTGATGACATGAGCCTGTCTCTGCTCAGTCATTCATGCCTCTCAACCATTCATCCAGCCAACAAACATTTATTGAGAACTCACTGTAAGTGCCAGGCACTGAGTCAAGGACATAAGCTCTCCCCACTCATGGCCGACTTTAAAAAAAAAAAATAGGTAGCTAATAGTAATAATAATAATAATAAAAAGTAGCCCGTAGTGGTGGAGCATTTACTCTTCGCGATGGACTGTGATGAGCACTTGTGTCATCTCAGTTAATCCTCACGTGAGACACGGAGCATGTGTAATAAAACAGCACTTACAGAAAAATGGAAGGAAGGAAACATGAGAAACTTACCTGAGCTCACACTGCCAAAACATGAGATCTGAACCTCAGCAATCTGACTCCAGAGCTTGGGTCTTTACCAGTTTCAACAATTGGATGAATAATTATGATGGAGTGAAGAGTGAGCGGTAGCACAGGTAATGACATCCCAGATACAATTCATGCAGAGCAAAAGTGAGCTCTCCCTCGGCACAGACAGCTGATTTGGGCCGTGTCCCCACAGACGATGCAGGTCTTAATTTTTCTTTGTTCATCTGGTGTTGGAGTGTGACCGAAAGCCTGGTCTCTGTCCCGGGTGCCAAATCAAAATAACGAGGACAATGTCTTGGAGTGAAGGAAAGAGAACATTTAAGGTGTCATAGACAAGAGGGTAGCAGACATCAGGGTCTCAAGGTGCACCACTGTGCTAGATGAGGGTGTTTGGGGGCTTAAAACGGGTTACAAGGAAGTGGGCTGTCAGTATGGTGAGATCACTAAAGAGTTGCAGGTCTCTGGTGTCAGGCACCAAGGCTTGTTTCCTCAATGTGGTCCTTGTGGTCCACAGACAGGTCTTGAGATAAGATCTGGCCTGACCAGGTCCTCTGGCTGAGATATGATCAAGGCAGTTTGTGCCGAAGGACGTGGGCAAGTGGGAAGCCAGCACTCTAGCCCAGTAGCATCAGTTTCCTGGCTTTCCCTTGAAATTGTAAAAATTGTCTGCTTATGTTATTTTATACCTGGTTATGGAAGCATTATAAATGAGCCAGAGAAATACATCCACCAACTTCGGACAGCAGATCAACCCCCTACAGGAAGCTCCTAAAGCTTTCTTCTTGTTTCCTTTTTTGGAGAGACCACTTAGCAGAAAGTAAGGAGTGAACATTAAGTTACTAAAATGGCTTTAGATGATGGCATCAGACCCCTAAGTCTACCGCCTCCTTCCAGATGGGCTTGGATTACTGCAATTTACAGGAACAGTTCTCTGTTTGAAATTAGTCAGGAAAATTACTGTAGCCTCAGCCTCTCAAAAGGAAAATTCCACTTGTACTCCACTCATGTGCCTACACACGTCAACTCTGATTACAGCATGCACCCACCCCTGCGAGTGCAAGTTACGGCTCTGCGTTCGCCTGCAAATGGATGTGCTCATGCCTCTGCCTTTGGCAGCACTCAGAATCAAACAATGGACTCCTCTAGAGCAAGAACCACACCCAGTAAGGATCCTCTGTCTCAAAGTCAAGACAATTGTGTGGTGCAGAAGTGCTTCCTCTGGAAGGACACTTGGCAGGCTGCCTCAAAAATCCTTAAAAATGTTTACCTCTTTATTATTATATTTTGCATGGAAACCTTTCCAAGCCCAGGTAGACAAAAGGGGAGAATTTCCTATAGCAAGGGAGCCTGCCCCCTGCCTTTCTGCAGGCAAAGAGAGGCAGTGAGGGCTCTGGAGAAGTCAGGAGGCTGGGATCTCTTTCAAAGTCATGTTTTTAAAGAGCAGGACTGGGGGGGGGAGGGGCGGCACCGTGGCTCACTTGGTTAATCCTTCACCTGCGGCGCTGGCATCCCATATGGGTGCTGGGTTCTAGTCCCGGTTGCTCCTCTTCCAGTCCAGCTCTTTTCTGTGGCCCGGGAAGGCAGTGGAGGATGGCCCAGGTGCTTGGGCCCTGCACCCACATGGGAGACTAGGAAGAAGTACCTGGCTGCTGGCTTCGGATTGGCGCAGCACCAACCATAGCAGCCATTTGGGGAGTGAACCAATGGAAGGAAGACCTTTTTCTCTGTCTGTCTCTCACTGTCTAACTCTATCTGTCAAATAAAAATAAATAAATAAGAACAGGACTCTTTTTGAATCCCTGCTGCCTAGAGATTGAGCTGTCTTTCCCTCAGGGTTTCCAGTTCCTGAGTAAAGTACTCGGCTGAGCCCTGGCCTGTTATCAGGGAGACAGAATCTCTTGGTGTGAAACTGGCCAGAGCCTCCTCCTGGGAGAGGGACGTATAGTACCAAGCTAAGGGCCTTTCTTCCGGTGTCTGTAAAAGCCCCCAAATAGAGGGTGTGTCTACTGAGGCCCTCACAGTGCCAGTCAGAGCTGGGTGGGAAGAGAAGGAACCTGGGGTATACTCCCAATACTCCCAATTCATGTGGAACTCCAAGGAGTCCAAAACTTTTTTTAAAAGATTTATTTATGAGACCAGCACTGTGGCACAGCAGGTTAAAGCCCTGGCCTGAAGCACTGGCATCCCTTATGGGTGCCAGTTCTAGTCCCAGCTGCTCCTCTATCTATCTCTCTGCTGTGGCCTGGGAAAGCAGTGGAAGATGGCCTAAGTCCTTGGGCCCCTGCACCCGTGTGGGAGACCTAGAAGAAGCTCCTGGTTCCTGGCTTTGGATCGGTGCAGCTCTGGCTGTTGTGGCCAACTGGGGAATGAACCAGCGGATGGAAGACCTCTCTCTCTGTCTCTACTCTCTCTGTAACTCTGTCTTTCAAATAAATGAAATAAATCTTTAAAAAAAAAGATCTATTTTTATTTGAAAGGGGGAGAGAGAAAGAAAGAAGACCTTCCATTTGTTGGCTAACTCCCTAAACTGCTACAACAGTCAGGTCTAATCCAAGCAGAAACCAGGAGCCAGGAACTCCATCCTGGTCTCCCATGTGGGTGGCAGGGGCCCAAGTACTTGGACCATCTTATGCTTCCCAGGTATCTTAGCAAAGAGCTGGATCAGAAGTGGAGCAGATGGGACTTGAACCAGCGCTCTGATATGGGAAGCTGGTGCCCAAAGCAAGTTTAACACACTGCATCACAATGCCAGCCCCCAAAACTTCTAAATTCAAACTTGGCCTTCTAGCCTTTATGACAGTAGATTTTTCAAGTGAAGAGGATATAATATACATGTTTTGATAACTTGCTCCTTTTGTGTATAACTTTCAGATGTTTCCACCTACGAACAGGGTATGTGGCTCTCCATTTGTACTCTTGTTCTGGCCCCACAAGTGTGGGAGGGACCAGCTATGTGTGCAGCCTATTTGGCTGAACTGAAGGGTGGGAAGCGGGAAAGCAGGCTGGGTGCTGCACCACATTGCACAGGCTGAGGACAGCCCCACTGTCCTCCCTCCCAGACAGTCTCCTGCTGCAGGCAAATCCCACGTGCCCCCTACTTTCTGAGACAGAGAACTTAGATTTCTGTGTGAAGCTCATTTCTAGAGGCATTTACTCAATGTGTGGTTCCCAGGCCTGCAAAATCAGCAGTGTCCAGAGGCCTGGTGGAAATGCAGCCCTGGAAACAGCATGTACTCTCCCGGAGAACCCCCAGGGGCGCATCTGGGCAGCGCGGGAAGGAGGCAGTGACAGCCATCGGTCGTTGTGAGGCAGGGAGGGTGAAGAATGACAAACCACAGGAAGCTCACAAGTTTGTACTATTATGATATGTCAAACAAACATAAAATAAAATAAAGGGTACCAAAGGAATGGTGAGAGAAGTAGACAAATCCAGACGGCCACGGAAGCCTGAGAGGTTAGAGTCTCCCACGGAGGCCCAGGGCCCTGGCCTGGAGCATCAATCAGCAGAGGGGCTCAGGAGGGTGGCACTGCGGAAGGTCCTAGGCATGACAATTAAAAGGCAGAGTATGCCATGCGGGGGCTGTTGAAGGAGGGCCTCAATTATGGGGACAGAAGGCAGGAGGAGATGGCACAAGGCTGGAGGTGGTGAGAAAATGAGGCAACGAGGCAGGAGTCCACTCCTCCTCCAAGGGAACAGGTGGGAAGCACTCCCTGCACAGGGGAATGGCAAAGGACTGACGGCAGCTTCTTCCCAGGCAGGCAGCCCCAGTGCTTGCTTGCTTTTTAAAATATTTATCTTTATTTATTCTTTACTTATTTGAGAGAGAGAAAATCTCAATTTTTCTATCTACTGGTTCACTCCCCAAATGTTTGCAGCAGCCAGGGCTGGAGTAGGCTGAAGCCAGGAGCTAGGTACATCCAGGTTTCCCACATAAGTGGCAGGGGCTCGACCTGATTACCTCCCAGAATGCGCATTAGCGGGAAGCTGGACTGGAAGTGGAGTAGCCAGGACTCGAACCAGGCACTCTGATACGGAATGCTGGTATCTCAAGCAGCAGCCTAACCTGCTGCCCCGTGGCACCTGTCCCCCAGTGTTTTGCTGCATGCTGAGAAGGAGCCTAGGCATGGGGGAGAATGCAGCTTGGAGACAGGGGGGCAGCTCTGGCCCTTCCTAAGGAGCAGCCACCTGGCCCTCCTAGAGTGGTCAGTGCTGCCCCTGCACCCGTCTGCACACCAGGCTGCAGTGTCCATGGCTGGCGTCAGTCCTGCTGGGCCAGCTTCCTGAGCCTTCAGAGGTGTCCCCAGCTAAGCCCCAGGCAGCCCAGAGGATCTTCCTCGCTCTCACCTTCCAGGGCTAAGAAGGACATTGCTGGTCTGGGGGCAAGATATCAAGGCCACAGGGCAAGGTGCTACCAAGGGCCTCTCTGCCTGCCATCTCTCTTTCTTACAGTGCTGGGACCATAGGAATCCTGGGCAGTAGCAGTTCTCCTGGGGCAAGGCTGGGTGGCTTCCTACACAGCCTCCTTGGAACCAGGTGGCCTCGGCGCACCCATTGCCACCTCACCAGGTGCTCATCCTTTGCTCTCTGCTCCCTGCTGCTCTGGGCTTCACTGGTTCTCACCCTCCTCATAGGTGTCTCCCTTCTAACTGTTCTCCTGGGCTGCTATTCCTCCTCCTCACACAGCTGGCTCAGATCTTCCCTGAAACCTGGCACTCCCAGGGTTGCCAGAGTGGGGTTGCCACTTCCCAGACCCCTGGGAGGTCAGTCTCTAAGACAGCCTTTCTTGTGTCCACACAGCTGCCCAGCCTAGCTGAATCCCGCCTGTTCTGGTGGTAGGATTTAATTTTTGAGGTTCCAATGGCTTTGCTTGCTTGGCCTGTGCCAGGCACTCTTTTAAGTATGAATGGTTTGTCTCTTAACTCTAATAAAAGCCTTCTGAAGTAGTCTATTCAGAATAATTATCCCCACTTTACAGATGTAGAAACTGAGGCACAGGAGGTAAGGTGTTGGAACCACAGGGCACAAACAGTGGTGCCAGGATTTAAATTTGGGGAGTCTCACTCCAGAAACCTCTCCTCCATTGTTGGGAGGCTGAGACACACTTGCTCCGTGGAGGGGAAGCTATAAAAGCACTCAGCTAGGGGGCAGCGCTATGGCATAGTAGGTTAAGCCTCCACCTGCGGCTTGGCATCCCATATGGACGCTGGTTTGTGTCCCAGCTGCTCCTCTTCTGATCCAGCTCCCTTGTGATGGCCTGGCAAAATACTGGAAGACAGCCCAAGAGTTTGGGCCCCTGCACTCGTGTGGGAGACCCAGAGGAGGCTCTTGGCTTCAGATCAGCTCAGCTCTGGCTGTTGCAGCCATTTGGGGAGTGAATCAGTGGTTGGAAGATTTCTCTCTCCATCTCTCCCTCTCTCTAACTCCCTCTCTCTCAAATAAATAAATAAAATATTTTTTAAGAATTTTAAAAAGCACTCAGCTAAACAGAGAGGCCAGTTGTCATTCTTAAGACGTTTTAGCTGGAAAAAGGCAGTGAAGTGGACAGCCAGGATCCCTCTGACGTATGTGCCAGGCTGGGGGCGAGAAGTGGGGGGAAGTGGTTGTGGTTTTGGCTGAGGTTTTTGAGTTTCTATGAATATCATAAGAGTAGGAAGACAGCACAGGGATTTGAGGCCAGTTACCCATCCCAAAGGGGTGGAGGGGGAGAGGCAGAGCATCATAGAGGAATCGAAGGAGGCCGTGATGTTACCAGGTCCAGGTACTGATGTGTCTGAAGCACTTAGAACTTCCTAGATGAAGGTTTCTATTCAACAGACCAGACTAACCTTGGGAAGTGCCTTGATCCCCCTGCCCTGCAACACACTGATACACGAAGGCTTTAACTTTTGCCTTTTCTGCCTCTGGTTTAACATGGAGGGGGAGTTTTCAAACAAGCTATTGTTTGTTGATGTAGAAACATAATGAATAATTCTGACATGTAACTTTCTTAACCTCTCTGGTCTTTAATTTATGATGTTTCCAAAATGGTTTAATCTGAGCCCTCCATATCACTGGGGTTTTTTAGTTCAGTAATCGTTCAAAAGACTGATAGAAGTGCCCTGTGGCTGGGGTTCACTCTGGCTCGGGGAAGGTGGGGTTCACTTTGGCTCGGGGAAGGTGACAGCAGCCATGGGCAGCAGCCCAGCAAGAAAAGAGGGAAGAGGAGGCCAAGCCAGGAGGCTCTCTCAGGACTGCTTGCTCATGGGTGGGCACGTGGCCTCCTGGGAGCCCCTCCGCTGTTGCTGGAGCTTCGTGACCACTGTCCTATGCAGTGAGTGCCCACGGTCTGCTTCCTGTGGCACCGCGGAAGCAACAGGGACTAGAGCATCGAGGAGAGGGAACACAGTGAAGTCGGCTCAGGAATCACTGGAATTTGGACAGGTGGACCTGCGGCAGAAGGGCTTTCTAACCGAATGCGCTGAGGTGAGACAAGACGCAGAGGTAGGAACAAGGATGGAAGTGTCTGCCTGAGGCTTGGGGATGTGAGTCACTGGCGATGGCCAGTCAAGGTCAGAGAGAGCTGAAGCCTAAAGTGATAACTAAAAGGAAGACTCCCAAGTGGAGGACTTGTAAAGGAGAAAGAGACTGACGCAGGGAGGCAGGGTGATTTTAGAGTGAGCACCCTGAAGCGGGGACGGCCAGGCACGCCCCATTGGAGCGTAAGACCTGGAGTGGTGGCAATGCAAAAGGGATATTTTGAAGACCATTGCACACAGCTTGTCCCTCAAGCCGAATAACAGAATGAAGCCATGAGCTAGATTACAGCTTCACTTTTAGGATCCAAGCCCTTGGCAAGATTCCCTCCCCCATCCACCTGGCCATGGCTTTCATCTACTCAAAGGCAGGGAGAGGCCAGGAAGCCCAGGCTGTCCTCCCTTAGTTCCCATCTTGCAGGCTCGTAATAGGCAACGTTTCTGTATTTGCATCCATGTGTCACAACATCTTGGTATTCTCACAGTATTTCAGGTTAATGGGATTCAAGGACATAAAGTAAATCCAAGCAGAGGAAATATCTGATCCGCGTCAGTCTTTTAAGTGGCCTTCGGTTTTAACCAAGTCCCCGAGCTTTGGCAAATGATGAAAGAGGTAACAGAACAGGCTGGAGGCTCCTGTCAAGCTGATGGGTCTGGTGGATTCCAGGACACTCGCCGAGGGAGCTGGAGATGGCCATCTATGGATTTCAGAGTGGCGGCATTCACAAGCCAGGGCCCCGAAACCCATTTAGCAAATGTCAGGGTTAGCCAGAAGAGATGAACAGGATGAGGGAAAGGCCTTTCCCATCTGGGAGTGTTTAGAATGGATAGTTTAGAAGAGGAGAGAGAAGATTTCCTTTTAGTTCTCAATAAATCATTGCCACGTATGTTTGTACCCTCCTATCCATTGATCATTTTTATCTCCCTCTTCTTCCATCCCTTTAAATATACTCAGGCACACTCTTATTAAACCCAAGATTTATATCAATTTGAAACTGTTTCTACATGCATAATGTCAAGGTGTTGGCATTATTCTTTCCAGATCAGACTGTGAAGGAGATGAGCAATCTCTTCTTTCTGTCTCCAGGGGAGAGAGCTCTGGGTACACATAGGGACTTCCTGGAGGAGGGCACATCTGAGCTGTCTTAGGATTGAGTGACTGTCATTAGTGCTGATGGGATGGGAATTCCAGCTGAAGGGGAAGAAAGAATCAACATCTATTTCCCAGAGTTATTTATATGAGGGTACCTAAGAAGTGTGTGGGAAATGGATTTAAAGGATGTTGATTTTGTTTCAAAAAGTTTCTAAAATCATGGAAACATGGAGTCTTCAAGAATGTCTGTGGTAAGTGCAGATTACAAAAAAATGCACATACTTTAAAATGTTTTGCATCAAAATAAAGTTATATTTCTTTTTTTAAAAAGATTTATTTACTTATTTGAAAGTCAGAGTTACACAGAGAGAGGAGAGGCAGAGAGACAGAAAGAGAGATCATCCATCCGATGGTTCACTCCCCCCAATTGGTCACAACAGCTGGAGCTGCACCAATCTGAAGCCAGGAGCCAGGAGCTTCTTCTGGGTCTCTCACGTGGGTGCAGGGGCCCAAGGACTTGGGCCATCTTCTCCTGCTTTCCCTGGCCATAGCAGGGAGCTGGATTGGAAGTGGAGCAGCTGGGACTTGAACCGGCGCCCATATGGGATGCCGGCGCTTCAGGCCAGGGCATTAACCCGCTGTGCCACAGCACTGGCCCCAATAAAATTATCTTTAAAATCCATTTTCCCCCAAACCTGAAAAGGCTCCTTGTCATTTTATAGAGGGCTAAGAAAAAAAAAAAATCTTAAAGACTTTTTAAATGCAAAACTTCAGGCAGGTAGAAGGTGTCATTGTGCTATTTCTAAGAAGGTTTAGCGTTTGTCACAGAACAGTTACACTGATTACCTTTGCTAGGTATGATGCAGACAGAGCACAGTCCCAGCTTTGAGTCTCACGTGGCTCACGTGGCTATGCCCAGAGGATTCTCTTCAGGCTGTGGACACCACACGACTTGGTGACAGACCGTGACAGCTCAGGAAGACTCTCCCTGCCATTGGAAAGACAACCCCAAATACTCAGCTTTTGCTAAGAGTAGATTTACAAAAGCATTGTCTTGTCTTCCCTTTCCCACCTTATCCCTCCTCTACCTTGGCCATGAACACTGCCCTCCAATCACACAAGGACTCTCCTAAAGAGACAGCTGCCCTCCTGCCCATCTCCCATTCTCTACAGGTGTGTGTGTTGGGGGGAGGGCAGAGAACAACTTGTTCAGGCAGCATCTGGAATACCCAGTAACAGATGTGGGCATCCATCACCGTCCTTGGGGAGCCTTGCCTGCATCCACGTTGAAAACACGTGCAAGGAAGGCTGGCTGTCCCGCAGACTGCCGTGCGGGGCCCAGGAGGCCGGAGGACCCCCTGGAACTTCAGCGTTAGCGTCAGCAGTGGGCTCAGGAACCCCCATGGGTCCCTTGGCTCTGCAAAGCAGAATTAGAAGGCATGCCCTGTGGTGTTTCTCTTACCTCACAGGGTATCTCCATGGAGGAGGGTGGGCTCACAACTTGCTTGTTTGGGATAGCAAATTCATTCGACAGACATTTGTGCTAAGAACTACTTGGCACTCAGCTGTGTGGCAGGCACGTTGAGATGGGTGAAGAGAAAACAAGAAGAGAACGCTGCCTTCAGCTAAGAAGATAAAGGACCTGAAGTAGGGATCTTATATGTAGGTAGATATGAAAATACAGCATGGGTGAGTGTCATGTAGGCAGAGTGGCTGGGTCTCCAGGGTGTGTGCTGAAGGGTGGGGCTGCCACACACATCACCTCTTGCTCTCCTTTGATGCAGTGCCCGCAAAAAGTGGGAGTTACCCCGAACTGAAGGATGAAGAACTGAGGCGTGGACCAGCATTTAGGAGCTTCTGGTGAGCCACACTGTCCCCTTGGCCCACATGATGACAGCACCCGACTTCAAGTGCACCCTACGTCATTGTCTCAGGGCTTTCCCAAAGGCCTCTGAGTCTCGTCAGCCCTGAGGCCTCCCAGAGTTAGCCCAGGGCAACATCCACGCTTGGGGATTGGCGTGAGCCAACAGATGAAGGTCCTGCCCTCCCCGCTTCCTTAGGAGGGACGGTCGTGAGGTGTTACAGCCTGGTTCCCAAAGAGTGCTGGCCCGGTGGGCCCCCAGTGGCTCTCTCAGTGGTCACTGGCTCAGTAACACACAACTGGTTCTTCTTGCTTCCCGTTCCCTCATTCCACCTTCCAGAGGTCACTTCCCAAATGAACTGCGCCCATCCAAGCCCTGTCGCAGCCTCTGCTCTGGGTCAGTGGGCTAAGCAATCTGTTCAGTCAGGGTCACCTGGTGGGAAAGTGGCTGAGCGCCGGGGGGTATGTAGTCTGTTTCTCACTGCCCAAGGCAGGCTACTTTATAATGAAAAGAGGTGTAGTTAGCCCACACTTTTGGAGGTTCAAGGGATTGGTTCCAGCTCTGGTGAGGACCTCATGGCAGACGCGTCACAGTGGCAGGAGTGTGTGCTGGAGGGATAGATCACAGGGCCAAACAGGAAGTCAGCAATTGGAGGCTGGGCTTGCTTTTCTAACAACTCACTCACATGAGCACTAATCAAGGGGTTCTACAATAGCTACCTTAGACAGATAAGCCCAGGGTCTGCTAGGAGAAAGCTACAGTCAGGAGCCAGGGCCAGAGCCAGGTAACGAACGAACCCAGGTACTCCAATGTGGTGTCCTAATCGGCATTTTAGCCACCAGATTAAACAACCACCCCTCATTAGAATTTTTAAATAAATTTTTTTAAGACTTTATTTATTTATTTGAGAGATAGAGTTACAGACAGTGAGAGGGAGACACAGAGAGAAAGGTCTTCTGTCTGCTGGTTCACTCTCCAAATTGCCACAACGGTTGGAGCTGCGCCAATCCGAAGCCAGGAGACAGATGCTTCTTCCAGGTCTCCCATGCGGGTTCAGGGGCCCAAGCACTAGGGCCATCTTCTACTGCTTTCCCAGGCCACAGCAGAGAGCTGGACTGGAAGAGGAGTAGCCAGGACTAGAACCGGTGCTCATATGGGATGCCGGAGCAGGCAGAGGACTAACCTACTGTACCACAGTACCAGCCCCTTAAAATAAATTTTTAAATAAAGTAGTTCCAGGGCAATGATTGTTAGGCAGGATGTCAGATATGCAATGGAAATGTTGGTCATCACCTTAGGTATTCAGTTATTATACTGGAAAAATTAGCACTGTGTTTGCTCACTGAGTAACTGGGCAGCTTTCATGAATTGTACCAATAAACCCAGTTTTTAAAATTATTGTTATACTCAGTGATTAGCCTTAGAACCATTGATTTAATGGGAGGGGGTCAACAAAGAAACCCCTATTCTGTGCTCTCAATCTCAGGATAAACTATGAAGGGTGGCGGGGACAACTGCAGGTGCATCTTCTCCTTTGATGCTTTGTGTCCTTATCAGTAAAGAGGGGATTAATAATGCAAACTACACAACACTCTTTCATTCATTCAAAATTCACTCAGCAAACAGTCCCTGAGCTCTTGCTCTGAATCGGGTCTATTGGTGTTACAAGGGTACACGAGACAAATCTCCCTACTGGGGAGTTTGCATTGTGGTGGGGACTCAAGGACACTTCCCAAAACAGTATCTGACATGGCACTTGCAAAGGAAGAACTCCACACCTCAGGCACCAGAGGCAGCCTGAGCTTTGGCTAAAGCACCTGTTGCTACATATCGCTGATTTCGTTTTTTTTTTTTTAATTTATTTTATTTATTTGAAAGACAGAGTTACAGAGAGAGGAAGAGACAGAGAGAGAGAGAGAGAGAGAGAGGTCTTCTATCTGCTGGTTCACTCCCCAGATGGCCGCAATGACCGGAGCTGCACTGATCCGAAACCAGGAGCCAGGAGTTCTTCTGGGTCTCCCACACAGGCACAGGGGCTCAAGGAACTGGGCCATCTTCTACTGCCCTCCCAGGGCATAGCAGAGAGCTGGATCAGAAGAGGAGCAGCTGGGACTTGAACCGGCGCCCATATGGGATGCAGGCGCTTCAGGCCAGGGCTTTAACCCACTGCACCACAGCGCCGGCCCCATATCTCGCTGATTTCTAAGAAAAGCATTCCGGGAACTAACAGCATACAAAACTCAGGACGGCTCCCACAAACTACAAGGAGTGTGGTTAAGGCCCTCTTGTAGAAGATGGGTCATCTGGGGCCGGCTTGTGGCACATCGAGTTAAGCCAACACCTGCAATGGCAGTGGCATCCCGTATGAGCATTGGTTACGGTGCTGGCTGCCCCATTTCCAATTCAGCTCCCTAATGATGTGCCCAGGAAAGCAGTAGAAGAAGGCCCAGATATTTGGGCCTCTGTTAGCCATGTGGGAGACCTGGACAGAGTCCCTGGCTCCAGGATTTGGCTTGGACCAGCACTAGCTGTTGTAGCCATTTGAGGAGTGAATCAGTGAATGGAAGATCTCTCTTTCTCTTCCCCTCTCTGTAACTCTTCCTTTCAAATAAATACATATATATTTTTTAAAAAATAGAAAATTGATCATCCCTTATCAATGAGTCAACAGGAATAACCCTGTTCTCACATCCTTTTTTTTAAAAAAAAAGATTTATTTGTTTGAAAGGCAAAATTACAGAGCAAGAGAGAGAGTGACACACACACACACAGAGAGAGAGAGAGAGAGGAGAGATCCATTTTCCATCCACTGGTTCACTCTCCGAATGGACACAACAGCTGGGGCTGGGCCAGGCTGAAGCCAGGAGCCTGGAATTCCATTAGGGTCTCCCACACCAGCAGCAGAGACCTAAGCATTTGGACCATCATGTGCTATCTCCCAGGCCCATTAGCAGGGAGCTGGATGGGAAGTGGAGCAGCTGGTACTTGAACTGGTACCCAGTGGGATGATGGCACTATAGGCGGTGGCTTTACCTGCCTGCACCACAGCCATAGGCCCCCTCACCAGCCTTTCATCTCCCCCCACAGTGCTTAACATAAAGTAGCAAATGCCTCAGTGAAACGCTCGTGAACACAGGAGCGCTGTTGGCACCAATGGCAAGGTTTGAAGACATTTCCATCCGACAGGGGCCATGCACATCTCTTCATTTTGTGAACGGAGCCTGCTGGCTCGCTCTTTCACCTCCAAAGACCAGATAGGCTGCCTCTGTCCAAGTTCCTGTTTCAGAAGATGCGGTTAGGAGTGACTGTGTCCCCTAAATTCCCATGTTGAAACCCACACCCCAAGGTGTTGGTAGAAGGAGGTGAGGTCTAGGGAGGTGGTTAGGACTAGATGCGGTCTTGAGGGTGGAGGCTCAGGAATGGGATTAACGCCTTGTAGGAGTCACGAGAGAAGTGCTGGCACTATGATGCAGTAGGTTAAGCATTTGCCTGCAGCGCCAGCGTCCCAAATGTGTGCAGTTCAAGTCCCAGCTGCTCTACTCCTGATCCAACTCTCTGCTGATGGCTTGGGAAAGCAGTGAAACATGGTCCAAGTCCTCAGGCCCCTGCACCCATGTGGGAGACCTGGAAGAAGCTTCTGGCTCCTGGCTTTGGATTAGCCCAGCTCCAGCGGTTGCAGCCATCTAGGGAGTGAACCAGTGGAGGGAAGACCTTTCTGGCTCTCCTTCTGTCTGTAACTCCACCTGTCAAATAAATAAATATTAAAAAAAAAAAAAAACCTCTCAATCTCTGTCTCTCCCTTTCTCCCTGCAACTCTGGCTTTCAAATAAAATAAATAAATCTTTTTTAAAGAACATAAAGTATGAGAGAGCTGGCTTCATTTCCGTTCTTTCTCCCTGGTGAAGATACAACAGGAAGCCCACAGCCTGCAGTCCACAAGAGGGCCTCACAGGACCTGACCATGCTGGTTGGACTTCCAGAACTGTGAGAAATAAAAGTGTGCTATTTAATTCACCCAGTCTATGGCACTTTGTTAGAGCAACCCAAACAGGCTAAGACAGGTGCTTAGCACTAAAGGCATCCCCTATCCTTTTACTTTACATCTTGGTCATTTGGGCTGCTATAACAAAATGTAACAAATTGGGGGACTTATAAATAACAGGACTTTATTTCTTATAGTTCTGGAGGCTGCAAAGTCCAAGATCAAGGCCCAGTAGACTGGGTATCTGATGAAGGCTTTTTGTCTGACTCATAGATGGTAACTCTTTGCTATATCCTGTTGTGATAGAAGAGGCAAATAAGGTTCCTTGGGCCTTTTTAAATTTGAAATGCAGAGAGACAGGGGCTGGTGCCGTGGCGCAGTAAGTTAATCCTCCACTTGTGGCGCCAGCATCCCATATGGGTGTCGGTTCTGGTCCCAGCTGCTCCTCTTCCAGTCCAGCTCTCTGCTATGGCCTGAGAAAGTGGTGGAGGATGGCCCAAGTGCTTGGGTCCCTGCACCCATGTGGGAGACCAGGAAGAAGCTCCTGGCTCCTGGTTTTGGATTGGCGCAGCTCCAACCGTTACAGCCATTTGGGGAGTGAACCAACGGACGGAAGACCTTTCTCTCTGTTTCTCCCTCTCATTGTCTAACTCTGCCTCTCAAATAAATAAATAAATCTTAAGAAAAAAAAAAGAGAGAGAGATGCAGAGAGACAGACAGCTCCCATTTACTAGCTCATTCCTCATATGCCAACAACAGCCAGGTTGAGTCAGGCTGATGGCAGGAGCTGGGAACTCAATTTGAGTCTCCCACATGGGCGCCTCTGAGCACCTCTCTCTCCAAGTATCTGAGCCATTACATGCTGCCTCCCATGGTGTGAGTTAGAAGAAAGCTAGAATAGGGTACAGAGCTGGGACCCAAACCCAGACATTCTGATATGGGTTGGGGTGTCCCAATGAGTGCTCCACTACTACCAAATGACCTTCTTTCATAGGCCTTGTGAAAGCCCTACCTCCTCATGCCACCACTTGAGTATTCAACATAGGGATTTTGAGGGGACACAGCACCTTCTTACATATTTGGAGTTTGGCTATTTTTATCCCCCCCCCCCCAGGATGCAGTTAGATGGACATAGATACATATGTAAAACGTTCCTAATTCCAGCCAAGTCAGAGCCATTCAATTCCGTTGCATCCATTCTGATATCTGGAAGAATGTTTCTTTCAGTTACCTTTGTCCACATCGTGAGCTTTACACACTTTGGCCAGTGTCCTCACATTGTCTCACACGTAACATGATTTTGAAAACTTCTCCGGCAGTATATTTGATCCAAACATTTAGTAGGGTTGTCCTTTTATGAAAGCAACATTTATATTTGAAACTGCTGTGAAAACAGCATGGGGCCAAGTTTCTAATGCCACAGAACCCTTCCCATGTGGATTTCAAAGCAAGCTCTGATGTGTTAATTAAACTTCAGGAACACATCTTTTAAAATCTCAAGAATACACCTTTAAAAATCAACCACAGCGAATCAGGATAAAAAATTTGAGCCAGCTTTGTGATACAGTGGGTTAAGCCACTGCTGGTGACATCAACATCCACATTGGAGTCCTGGCTGTTCCTCTTCTGATCCGGCTCCCTGTTGATGCACCTGGGAAAGCAGCAGAGGAAGACAGCCCAAGTCCTTGGGTTGCTGCTGCCCATACGGGAGAGCTGGGCGGCATTCCAGGCTCCTGGCTTTAGCCTGGCTCAGCCCCGGATGTTGCAGTCATTTTTGGAGTGAACCAGAGGATGGAAGATTCTGTCTCTTTCTGTGTGCTACTCTGCCTTTCAAATAAATAAAGTAAATCTTTTTAACAAAAGAAAGAAATCAGTGGGATTCAGGTTAGTGTACTGAGTCTATATAGCAGTGATTAAATACAGAATAATATACTCCCCCCCCCCCAAAAAAAAACCCTCTTCTGAAGTTTGTGGCTTCATAAGTAAGCAACGCCCCCCTCCTCCCCAGTCAATTATCGCACTGGGTGGGCATGGGGCTCTGCTGTCCCCACAGCTTCAATATAGCATGCTGGAAGCACTGATGAGAGTAGTATATTTTATTGCAGAGCCAGCCATATTCATGACATTCCAAGAACATTCTGGGGACTTCTGAGTCGGTCACCTCACATTTAAAATAGAAATTTAAGAGTTATTTCTATGTTGGTGTTTAGAAATTATCCAAATGCTACCTCAGGGGCAAAGACCCCAAGTAACACACAGCGGAATGCTGTAAGGGAAGCCACTCAGTTCTCACCTGACGCTCGTGTTCCCGTCATACTGCAGTCTGCCAGGCTGTCAGGTGGGCGGTTCACAATGACAGACCCCGGCCCGGCCGTGCACATGCTGCCCCTCAGCCCGACCGCACTTCAGGCTACAAGCATCCGAGCTGTCCGGAATTCCTGTGATTTCTGAGATTCCAAAGTCAGTCTTGCCCTTTCAGTGCTAGCATCCGAGAAAGCCCAGGCCACGCGGCGGGCTCGGCGAGCCCTCCTCCGGTGCAGCGGCAAAACTGCGCGCAGGTGCGCCCCACCTGCGGTGCCCAACTCCTCCCCGTGGCACTGCCTGTACGCTCCCGGCCCTGGCGCGGGGGCGGCAATTGGTGCACCCTGAGCGCTTTACGCCTGACCCTGGTCCGGTCTCCCCTGCTCGTCCCGTGGCCACCCGGCGGCCTGTGCCTACTGCGCCAGCCCGGTGCACCTGCACGGCTCGACGAAGACGGGTCACTCGGAAAGCGATGGAAAAGCAGGGAGGCCAGGAGACAGGCAGCGGGCGCTCGTCCCGCAGGCTTTTCTTAGGCACACTGGAGGAACAAAAAAGTTTCCTTTGTCAAGCACACTGACCACGTGGCGCCGGGGCTCTCACCACGGCAAACTGCCCGTACTGCCTGGGCGCACTCGGGCACGCGCCAGCCCCTGCCGGAGCAGGCAGGCCCGAGGAGGGCGGGGTCCCCGGGCCGGGGGCGGGGCGCGCCCGGCTTCGGGGCGGGGTCCCAGCGGCCAGGAGCCGGGCCGGGGGCGGTGCTGCGGCGGCGGGGCGGGGCGCCGAGGGGAGCGGCGGGCAGGCCGGGCATGGCGTCCATGGCGGCGGCGATCGCGGCCTCGCGCTCGGCGGTCATGAGCGGGAACCGGCCTCTGGACGACAGGGAGCGGAAGCGCTTCACCTACTTCTCGTCGCTGAGCCCCATGGCCAGGAAGATCATGCAGGACAAGGAGAAGATCCGCGAGAAGTACGGGCCCGAGTGGGCGCGGCTGCCGCCCGCGCAGCAGGACGAGATCATCGACCGGTGCCTGGTGGGGCCGCGCGCCCCGGCGCCCCGAGGCTCCGGGGACCCCGCGGACGACGAGGACCTCGTGCGCTTCCCCGGCCTGCGCGGGCCCACAGGCCAGAAGGTGGTGCGCTTCGGCGATGAGGTACGTGCGGGCCGGGCCGGGCCCTCCGCCCCTCGCTGCGCCCCCCAGTCCGGCGGGCACCTGCCCGCGAGTGGCCGCCCCAAGCCGGGCACCGAGCGGTCGAGGCTGAGCGTGAAAAGGACGGAATGCGAGGGGCGTTCCCGAGCCGGAGGTCGGGGGAGGGGGCGCTCCGGCGGGGACTTTGTTAAGGAACCTCCAAGCGGAGGGTCTTTGAAGACCCTCGGTCTAGGCCTGCTCTAACCGGGCCGCACCGGTCCGGGGAGTTCTCCCCCAGCTAGAGGCATCCGCTCCTAAACAGGGCAGACGCAAGTGGAAATGGCAAGAAATTTTGAACCCGACAAGCCTGGTTCTAACCAACTCTGCCACTTGGTAGCTGGATGGCGGCGGCTGAGTTAACCTCCCTGAGCGCCTCAGTGTTCTCCGTGTAAAAACGGGGGTTGGGATTCCCGCCCCTGCCTGCCCGGGAAATCACTTGGCACATAAAATACGAGTGTTAGTATCTGTGATGCGCCGAACGGGGCAAAGGGAATTGCCAAACGGGATAACAAGGAGGAGGAGGCGGCTTTAGCCCTAAGATGTTTTTTGAGTGAGCACGGAGCGAGCTCTGAGGTGGGGGTGGGGGGCGGATCTGAGCATGGTGACCCCATTTTTCTACCAGAAAACCGAGGAGGAAGGAGAGGTTTGAATGAGCTTCAGCAAGCCTTGGCTATCTGTGGGGTCACGTCTAGGTCTCGGATCTGACCTTGGAGCCCGGACGTCTAGCGTGGCAGTCAAAGAAACAAAAAGCGCACGGGGAACCAGTGGGGTGCCGGCTCTCAGTCACAAAGGCCTGTGTACTCTGAGTTGTTCAGAAACTTGGCCTTCCTTCCCTGGAAATTCACTTAACCAACACTTGCTTCGTGGCATGGGACTGTGCGCTGTGGCTGCCCTTTCAAACTCAACTTTTGCCACGAGGGACCGTGGAAGGGAGCAGAAAGTGTAGAATGAAATCCACTCTCGGTGAAGGCTGGGCGGCTGGAGGGAGGAGCCAGTGGAGTTTTGCCGAAGAAGTTGTGGACTGTGGAAGGAATTCAAGTTAAGAATGAGGTTCGGATCCGATGTGCAGGCGTGGGTATGCGGAGGCGTTTATTAATACAGAATGTTTGTGGCTGAATGTGAGGGAAGTGTGAAAGGACAGAGCTATGCTGCCAACATTGCCTGATTTTGATGGAATTAAGAGAAAAATTCTCCACTGGACTCTAAACTCTGAGGGCTTTGCCAGGAAAAACAAGGGTGTGGTGGTGAGCTGGGGAGATGAAAATATAGGTTTTGAAATGTATTCCTAGAGTGGAAGCATTTTCAGGGCAAAAATACCCAGGTCCATAGAGACACGTCTGCAGTGTTTGTGCTCAGAGGTAGGTGATGAAAAAGCCGGCAGCGCCTCTTTGGAAGAGTCTTGCGTAGATAAACCCAAGAGGACATTAAATCTAAGTTCCCGGAAATGTTGGGGTGACTCTCTGTCCCCCCAGTTTGGTGTCCACCGAAGAACATCCGCGTGTCTGCTCTACTGTGTTAGAGTCCAGGATTACTGAAAGGCAAAGATGTGGCTCAGTTAATTTTTCACTCTCATTCTTTATCTGGTGCCAGACTGAGCTGTTTCTGAATTTGTGAGGCCAACGCGATTTACAGGCCAATGGAACCCTGCGCTGTTGTACTTCCTTCCGCACACACCAGCTCTGTTCACAGTTGAATCCTCACTTCCCAGTACGGGCTGAGAGTAGGGTCTGGGATGCTTCTGCCCAACCCCAGCACAGGTGGCGGAGGGGGAGTGGTGCCTGGGAAGGTTGCCCAGTGTGCATTTCGCCTGCAGTGGCTCTGTGGTTTACTCACACTAGAGAGCTTAAGTGCCCCAGGACCAGGCAAGAGCCTGAAGCCTGAGTGGAGTTCATGGTCTCATTGTTGGCTCCAAGAGGTCTTTTACGGAGCAGGGCTGGCTCCTGGGCGTAGGGATGATGGATTAGGACAGTAGGTGGTGATGAAGTGACAATGAGGCTGCTAGACAGACTGGCCCAGATAGGTGGCCCCAGGTTGGTCCGAAAGAACCCTAAACTACACAAAATAGAGCACTCATCCTTCTCACCTGATCTGCCTTCTGCCGCTTCTGCCGCGGCCCCAGAGGCCTCCACTGCCCTTTGGTTAACCCTGACCAGCAACAGGACAGTGTTTCTTTGACTAGGTCTCCCCCATTGCCAGTGACATTTCTGTAGCCTGTGTAGCAACATTGTAAGTCCGAGCACGCAAATACAGCCTCCAAATGTGGTGACCATCATCTTGTTTTTCGTGTGTTGCAGGAACAAATAGAAGCTTGATTATAGGAGGGGGATATAGATCCTAGCGGGCACGGGTGTGGCCAGGGGCTCAGTTCACACAGCCAGGTTGCCTGTGTGTAGAGCAGGTGCAGCAGTGTGGCATCTGTCTGTGTTTACCCTGGCTCTCTGCGAGGTGGGAAGACCTTAAGGACTTAATGTGGGCCTCCGCTGATAAGGATGTTGCTGTCTTTGAGTATTGAAACCGTGAAGAGACCCATCTGTTTTTCTGCCATTTCCTTGGCAATCAATTGAGCAAATACTTTTCACAGCCTGTTATGTTAGAAATGAGAGACTTTCTAGCTCAGGGTGCTAAGTACCGCCCCCCCCCATCTTTACCACCTCCTTTAAAAAGTCCTCTCAGGGGCAGCTGTTTTACATAATGGTTAAGACTCTGGGATGCTGCTGGCGCCGCGGCTCACTAGGCTAATCCTCCGCCTAGCGGCGCCGGCACACCGGGTTCTAGTCCCGGTCGGGGCGCCGGATTCTGTCCCGGTTGCTCCTCTTCCAGGCCAGCTCTCTGCTGTGGCCAGGGAGTGCAGTGGAGGATGGCCTAAGTGCTTGGGCCCTGCACCCCATGGGAGACCAGGAGAAGTACCTGGCTCCTGCCATCGGATCAGCAAAGGAAGACCTTTCTCTCTCTCTCTCTCTCACTGTCCACTCTGCCTGTCAAAAAAAAAACAAAAACAAAACAAAAACAAACAAAAAAAAAACAAAGGCTCTGGGATGCCCACATCCCGTAGTGGAGTGCCTAGGGTTGAGGCCCAGCTCTGCTTCTAATCTAACTTCCTGCTAATAAACACCCTGGGAAGCAGCAGGTGGTAGGTCAGGTCGTTGGGTCCCTGCCACCCACATGGGAGATGGATGGAGTTCCTAGCTCCTGGCTTCAGACTGGCCCAGCCCTGGCTTGTTGCAGTCATCTGGGGAGTAGACCAGAGAGAGAGAGATCTCTCCCTGTCACTATCTCTTGGTTTCTGTTTGCCTTTCAAGTAAAAATAAAATTTCTTCCATAAGAACACATGACTGAACATGTACAGAAATATAGTTTCAACTAAGGCCACTAGCCTTTTTCCACCCTTTCCCCATTGTCACCCCAAGTCCCTTCTGCATAAAGAATGTGGAGCAGCAGCTGTCGCAATGCTTGGCCCTCAGCAACTTGAGAGGAGTCCTGAGGCCTGGGTTCTAGTCCAGGCCATGCCAGCAGCAAGGTGCTACCCCTCTTAAGGAGTGGCTTCTCCTCTGTGAAGTTAATGGCGTCTCTCCTCTGGCAGAGCAGGCAGACGTGGTGGGCAGGTGTGCCCCATGAGTCAAATATTAAGACAGATTTGCAAATGGATGCTTTTAGCAGTTTGACTTACGCCAGGCTTCTTGTTTGCTGTGTTCTTCCTACAGCTGCGAGGTTCCGGGAATGGCTCACTTTGGGAGTTGAAGGGCTTTTGGTTTATGAGGATTTAGAGATCAGCCTGTTTATGCTTCTGCTGTTTCCTGTTTTATCAGATAGAAGGGGAAAAACCCTGAATTTTTAGGAACATGTCGCCCGCTGCTCCGCGGGTCACCCTCAGTTCCCTTGCTACCGATATAGGAGGGTCCAAAACACTGATGAGAGTTCCGGGGTTCCTTGCTCTGCATCACATTCTCGGCTGCAAACTGGCCTTGAGCAGATGCGGGGGGGGGGGGGGGGGACGCCGGCAGCCAGTGCCTCTCCTTTACCTGGACCTACTTGCCTCTTCTGCTTCTCCTTTCGGTAGGCGGAGCCAGGCAGAAATGGTTTTTCCATTTGTCAGCCCTCAGGACCCTGATCTGGATTTTGCATCCTGTAGAATATGGAATTTTTTTTTTTTTTACAAAAAGATTTATTTATTTCAAAGTCAGAGTTACAGAGAGAGAGTGTACAATTTTCCATCTGCTGGTTCGCTCCCCAAATAGCTGTAACAGCCAGGGCTGGATCAGGCCAAAGCCAGGAGCCAGGAGCTGCTTCTGGGTCTCCCACTGGGTGCAGGGACCCATCTTCTGCTGCTTTCCCAGGCCATTAACAGGGAGCTGGATGGGAAGTGGAGCAGCTAGGACACAAACCTGCACCCATTTGGGATGCTGGCCTTGCAAGTGGTGGCTTTACCTGTTATGCCACAAGCTGGCCTCGGAATATGAGCTTTTAAGACACTGGCCAGCCCCAGAATATGGGCTTTTAAGACACTGGAGCCAGACAACTCTGCCCCCTCTTCAGCAGCTTAGCATGACCAGCTGCTGTGAGAATATCCCTTCTGTGCCTGCGTTCCTCTCTGTCCTACAGAAATCTGCATCTGCAGACTTGCTAGCTGCTCTCTTACTCCTCCCAGCCTTAACCCCTGTTTCTTCTTAATGTTTGTTTGCTTGTTTATTTTCATCTACTTGAAACAGGCAGAGTGACAGAAAGCGCGAGAGAGGAGATTGATCTTCCATGTGCTGGTTCACTCCCCATAGCCAGGGCTGGGTCAGGCCAAAACCTGGGAGCCTGGAACTCCATTGAGGTGGCAGAGGCCTAAGCCCTTGAGCCATCTTTGCTGCTTCTCCGGGTGCATTAGCAGGGAGCTAGATCTGAAGCAGGGTAGCTGGGACTCAAACTGGAGCTCCAATATGGGATATAGGCACAAGCTGTGGCTTAACCTGCTGTGCCAC